CACGAGTCAAGATATTCCAAGTTTAGTCAGTTTTCAAATCTATTATTTAATTAGAAATAAAGTGATATTTTAGCACATAAAAATGTACAAGAGTATTGTAAGACACAAAAATTTATTACAAAGAGTGGCTAAAGAATTGCAATCATGAAAATTTACATGATATACGAAAAAATTTTCTTCCGACTTTTCAAGCTAAAAATTATGCAAATATCTAACAAAGTTACTTTAATCTGGCAATCCAAATTTTGTCGTGAGGCATCATTTATTTATCTAGGCAGCTTTACAAATCTTTGGCAATTTTTGTGATTTTAATTGACATCTTTTGTCTACTATTTGCAGGAGGATCAACAATTCAATTGTTCAATATAAAGGAAGCCTCGTGCTTGAATTGCAGCAAAGATCCATCGAATTCAATTCTATCATTGCAAGTCATCAGAAAATGAGGTATCTATTGGCGTAGTGTTTATTCTTTCCCCTAATTAAATGAAATTTCCAAATTTCATTAAAGGGAAGAATTTTACTTTATGAACCAATATTAGAGCTCCATTAAATATTACAGAGCTGACGGACGCGCATCTTCAGGTCTGTGTTGGTTGAAAGGATGCCAGTTTTGGATGAGGCAACGTTCATTGGAAAAAGGGCTGGTTCTATGACAGGATCAGCATCGACTTCCAATGCTGCTGCAATTAACCTTCCAAATGGAGTTTCTAAATCTTCTGCTCCTCTCGTCGATTTACTTGATCTAAGTTCAGATGATGTTCCTGTGCCTAGCTCTTCTGGTGGTGGTTTTATTCAGGATCTTCTTGGGCTTGATTTGTCCGCAGCTCCAGAGAAATCTGGTTAGTTTTGAAAGCATTCACGTTTATCTATTTCGTGACTGTTTGGTAAACTTCTTCACTTCTATTTTGCATCAAGCAGCTATTTTCGCTTTCCTTAATAGACTTCTTTCAAGACCCGCAAACTCTATAATTTTGTTTTGTTTAAATATACATATATTTCAGAATAGTTAGTTGATTCTTCTTTGATCTATTATTTCTAGTTTTCAAGTTGGCTTTACACATCATACACCAGCAAGGAGTGTAAAAAAACGAGGCATGTTGTAAATGGTTGTTGAATGTTCATTCTGCATGTTGTAAACTGGCTTCTGTATTTCTTCCATTTCAATACTTGTTGGATATTCATTTCCACTAATTTGAGGTTTGAGGGTTCGGGATCTCAAGAATTCAGTGGTGAAAAGCAAGCAACTATCGGTTCTCTAGTCTGGTAGTTTTTCTTTATATAATTTGGCATTGCTAATAATTTTCGGCTTACATATTACGGACTGTCAACTGAACTGTGAGGCCTTAATTTGAAAATGAACTTTCCTATCACTCAAATGATGTGTTTTTTTGTTATGAAATACTGCACATGTTTTACTACTATTGTCGTATCAGGAAGGACTTTTATTTGTTGTTTGAAAACTTCGAATATTTTCAGGAAGTAATCCAACTCCAATAAGTGGAGCTGATGTTCTGTTAGATCTTTTGTCAATTGGAACATCACCACCTGCACAGAGCACTGCGTCTGCAACTGACATATTATCTAATCAAGAAAAATCGCCTACTTCTCAATTGGATGGACTCTCCTCTCTTTCTTCTCTTTCAGCAAACAAACCTTCTGCTGCTGTATCTTCTCCTACAATTGATTTATTGGGTGGACTGTCCCCTAACTTGGCAAGCGAAGGTGGTAAACTTGTCAGTGATACTCGGAATTACATGGAATTTCTTTGGTTGATATGAATCTTGTCGAGACTTTGATAGCTTTCCATTTTTTGTCCAGATGAGAATGGTTCAGTTTATCCTTCTATAGTTGCATACGAGAGTGGATCACTGAGAATAACTTTTGACTTCTCTAAGACAGCTGGGAGCCCACAGACGACATTGATCCTTGCCACATTTAAAAACTTATCTCCTAATAGCTATACAGATTTTATTTTCCAGGCAGCAGTTCCAAAGGTAAAAGTGGTATTAAGTTACTAACTCACCATGCAGCTACTTTTGTAATTAATTATTAAGGTCTTACATACCTATTTTGTTTTTTTTTAATTGAAGTGTTTTAACAGGCACATAGTCTGTTCTCTAGTTTTTTTTTTTTTTTTTTTTTTTTTTTAAATGTTGGGTAAATTTAAAATCTAAGGCAAAATTTTGAAAATTGTATGTCATCTGAAACTTTGAAGTTTTGGCCAAGATTCCAAAATGCTGGAAGTACAAGAAAAAAAAAGGTCAACAAGCATGCTTATTTTTTAAAAAAAGAAAATGAAGAACAAATTGGTGACATGCAATTGGTTCTAAGCCTTATTTCGCTTTTTTTTTCCTAAGATTTTTTTTTTGTCATATTCAAGTACTTTGTGGTTTTCATCCTGTTTTATGGGTTGTAGTTTTTGGAAGGTTATGATTGTTAAGTCACCTTACTTTGTAGAATCTCTTCCCATATGCCTTTTGAACTATATTTTATTGGTTTGGATATCTAGCTATGATATTTTTCGTCTTTTTTTTGGATGTCTTGTCATATGTGCTTTCGTTGTTGTTGTCACATTCACATACGAATTAGAATGTTCAAGTTAGCAGGGTTATTAATAGTTTATCATAGCATAATAGGCGCTTATCTTATATCTTTAATTTTTCTTTAACAAATAGTTCTGACATTTGTATGGGGATTTCAAACAGTTTCTTCAACTGCATTTAGATTCGGCTAGTGCTAGTACTCTGCCTGGAAGTGGTAATGGGTCTATCACACAACATTTGAGAGTGACTAATAGCCAATATGGAAAGGTATCGTTCTTTTGCAACCTCTAGAATTCAGTTTTGGGTTCTTTTTTGAATTTAGTATTGCATTGCAGTTGAATGACTTTTTCTGGATATGTTTATTTATTTTATACAAAGAATCTTTGTTTCTCATTTGTGGGGAAGCCGATCAATATCAAAATTGAAATGAATACTGATTTATTTAGGATATGAAAGAACTGTGGCACAGTTATCTGCGTTTTATTAGAATTACTTCAGGATTTTTTTGTAGTCAACTTCCAGTTTCTTACCCCAAAAATTCAGCTTGCTCTCGCTCACTCTCCCAGTTATATATGTCTACTGGATAATTAGAATACTCTTATTTTCAGAAACATCTTGTGATGCGCCTAAGGATAGCGTACAAGGTGGATGACAAAGATGTTTTGGAGGAGGGTCAAGTCAGTAATTTCCCTCGTAACTTGTGATGTTGAACGGCCCAGAAAGTGTACAAAAGGTGATAAACTGATCCTATTCAGTCTTCATGTTGTTTAATTTCTTATCCTAATTTTTTCAATTCATCAATCTGAAGGGGGGGGGTTTGATTTGCAGCGCATTGATGGCTGATTTTGCTTGCCTGGGGTTTCTATAAATCCAATGACATCACTCTGGATCCCCACCTCTGTTGTTTCTGAATGTCTTTTCAGAGTGGTTTTTGTACATTATTTCAAGTTATTGTACACTGGGATTTTGGTTATAAAAATTTTGTCTTGCATGAAGTGTTCCATTAAGAATTGGGGGCGCGGGTACTTTGCCACTTGTTTTGTATTAGTTTTCACTGTCTAGCTTTATCTTTTCCAGCCAGTCACCACCAGGGTAAGTGAACATTCCAAACATTAAAAAGAAGGGAATTCCATTCGATTTGTTCAGTATTCTTCTTTTTCTTATTGAAATAAAAGCTCATGATATCTTATCATCCTTTCCATGCTTGCCTTTGTAAGCCTCTAGGAAAAATTGGTGAGGGACTGTGATGTACTGTAATTCTCGAGGTGAAAGAACTCTCTGGTTTTGGACCCTTTTTCTCTCTCTCTCTCTCTCTCTCTCTCTCTCTCCCCTAAGTTCTTCGGTATCTTTTATGCTTAAACTTTGGTCCTGGATCTTCTTTTTGAAAACCATGATAAAAAATTATGATGCTAATCTAAAATTTAATTTTAGATAATNAAAAAAGCATAAAAATTCCTCGGATTCTGTCTGATTCTTTGTCTTGTTTTTGTCACTCTCTTTACTTCCATTTTGAATCACCCAACACAATATAAGGCTTTTCCCTATGCCTTTCTACCCCTTTTTTTTTTTTTTTTTTTTTTTTTTTTTTTTTTTTTTTTTTTTTTTTTGTTGCTGCCTGTGTACCTTTCTTCTCAATGATTTTTTGTTATTTTATTCGAGTCTGTCTGTTACAGCTCTCAATGTTGGACAAACAAGTTAGTGTCTATATAGATATCTAAATAGGGACTGGTACTTATGCTACATTTACAAGTAACATAATCTGTAATTGAGGTACGCCACTATGCCAAATCAATAAACGTATAAACTGCATGAGTCTCAGGGGTTTTATATCCAAGTCCATGTTTCCAGGTGGACTCCTGCAGATTTCTCAAGCTCAAGCCTTGACTCACTACGAGCCCGACTCCCAGAGCTCAACTCCGACCCAGTGGTTGTGGGAAAATGGTATTGCCCTTTCATCTTCATTTTGGGAAGGAGATGAGTAATGTTGGGAACAATAATGGCGTGGCAGTGGATGCGTGTTCGGAGGCAGGCGAACCAGTTGGAGGGTTGGCGGTGGAGAGGGTGGTAGCTGCCAGAGTTTGGTCCGACGGAGGTGGGGCTGAGTATGGACATTGTGGAGAGGGTGAGGTGGGAGCAGGAGAGAGCTGGGTTTCTGAGGGGAAGACATGAGGAGCAGATGGAGAAAATTATGAAAACAAGAGTTTCAAGGAAGTATGGAAGAGATTTGGGTAAAATATGTTTTTGGTCGAAAGGTTTGTGCTATTCTCCATTGTAACGCACCGAGTAATGCACACAGATAGGTAATTACTCACCGGCTGGCTATCGAACCAATCGAAACGGTCATCGACCCAGCAGGCATATGTTAGCTAGCTAATAGAATGTCATCCCATCTAAGCCTCTCATCAATATGAAGTCAGTATTTTAAAGGGAGGGAGAGATAAATAAGAGTGGAAAAAAGAAAGGAAGCCAAATCAATCCATTAAAGAAATTAGAAATTAGACCAAACTCTTGGACAGTGGACACTCAAGCTGTCCCAATTAATAGATAGGATTCCCCAAATCATCACTGCCGATTATATACAACCCACACCCTTCAATATGCAAACCACAACTCGGACCAATTTTTGGTTTCTAATTAATTAAGCCAAAAGCCAGAAATCCTTTTGTCGCTTTGTCGTGATCAAATACCCACCCAATTTCTTGCTCTTCCTTCTCACTGCAATCGCCATACAGCTCGCATTCTGTATGCAATACTCCACTGCCCCACCGCCACCGACGCCGCCGCCGCCGCCCCATCGGTGTCCAGCCCACACCATCAGAAGCCGCCATGTCGTGGACCGTTTCTTCTGCCCCAAAACCAGCAACGATGCCTCTTGCTTTCTCGCTTCTTCCACAATCACCGACCCTTTCTCTTTCCCTCCTTCCACCACTGCAACTTCGACTTCCACCTAAAAAAAACACAAAATCTTGAAAACCCATCTCCTAAAATCTTGGTTAAATCCAACCCCATTTGTCGAAATCTTAAGTTATCACCTCTGGTCTCTTCAATTGACATAAATTTCTCATGGAATGAACCAATTCATATGCTCTTGGTGATGTCTCCTTGCTTAGTCCTTCCCCTGTAACAAAAGAAATGGCTAAATTCTCCATTAAAACATAAGAAAAGGAACAAATGTGGGTACAAATTTTATACCCTTTCTTGAAGGCTTGATAACATGGAGTAGAACAATCTTGTCTTGATTCTGCACAGTGTGAGACAGAGCCCATTGAAGAGCTCCTTCAGCTTCAATGGTGGAATCAATCACAATCATGATCTTCCTTCCATTTCCCAGCCCTGGCTTAGCTCCAACCTCACCACCCACTACACAATCATCAGCCTTCTTCGGTCCGGTTTTCACAGAAACAGAGTCCAATTTGGACTGAATAGGCACTCGAACGTGAGGCCGGATCCGGTTCAGGCAGAAACTTGGCAACTTGGTTCCAGTTTTCCCCATTTCTGGAGATGGGTTTCCTTCAAAACAAGAAAAAACAGAAGAAAAACGAAAGGGTTGGGAGTTTTCGTTAGAATTTGACTGAGATTGAACAGAGTTCTTTGTGTCGGTAAAGAGACATTGTGATTGTGAATCACATAGTTTAGTTTCTTTTATCTTTGTTTGTTTGCTTTGTAATGATTTCAGTTGGTTTGGTTTCCTTTTTTTCTTCTTTAATTCCTTTTGGGTGTGTGGGGGCTTATTGCTGAACGTGCTCCTCATGAAACGGTGTTGGCCCATCATCTTCATCAATGGATACTCTTCGCCAAAGGCCAGCTGTTTTCTTATGTTCTGAGAGTTTGACACTTGAATGCGCTCCCCTGTCTGCAAAATTGTGAAGAACAAATGAAAAAGAATGTAATTTCTGAGTAGATTTTAGAAAAGATGGGGGAAGAGAGCAGAGTGGGAATTAAATTATTAGAAGCTTTTAATTGAGAACTTCATCCCTACCCCTTCTCTTTTTGGTCATTACTTTTTCCTTTAGCGTAATTCAAAAGCAACTGATGAGTCATGAAAGACTAATTAAGTTGGATTTGATTGAAACCTTAATTACCATATAAAGATCAGGTTTTTTCTTTTGTTTGGACATTTTTCATTATAGCTGGCACCCGCACCAGATAGAGATGTCATGGTGTGCGGTGTGTCACGATTATTCGTGTTATCTATGGCGGCATGACGGATGTCCTGATCATACTTGTCGAGGACGTGTTGTTCATGGCCACATGCCATTTCCAAATTTTTTTTTGCTTGTTTTCATGTTAGATAAACTTTAACTATTATTGTGTTAATATGGGATGTACAATTCTTCATCAAAATCATTTCTAAATTGTATTATAGGAAATATGACAAAGTTGTCACTTTTTCCTACTTGGATTATATACTATCAAAGTATTGTTGTTGCCTAATCGCTTGTAACTTATAAAATTGTTTTCAACGTATTTTTTCACAAATGTGACTCGAGACTTGAGCATACGCCGACGTTGTCCGCAAAATTCAAATTTCTCACGATTGACTTGTTCGCTGGGTTAGAACAAGTACCACACAATCGTTGTCTCACTATCACAAGAGTTCAATTGTGACAGCTTCATTGTTCTCATCCACACACGCCTCGTATTTTAATCCTCATCTCCACCTACAAATTTTGGTAAGTGATTTGGAAGTTTAAAGTATATATAGTAAACTAGTTTTGATATATAAAGTCAGCGGGGCTGGATGAAGAACATAAATCTCCATCCACAACCTTGCTTAGCTCACAGAGAAAAAAAAAAAAAACTCTCTTCTCACTTCCTCTACATTCTCTATGTAATTAAGGATTTTTGGTTCTGTTCATGGTAAGTTCCTACCAAGTCTAGGTTTTGCCAGTTAAATGAGTATCTCTAATTTCAATTTTAAAAAGGGAGAGAGATACATGGTTTGTCGGGAGTTCAATTTTAGGGTCGAGTTTAGAGCTTAAAAGGGTCCGAGAAGCATAAAAAAATGACCGAGAAAGAGAAAAAAAAAAGAAGGGAATATTCATGGAACAGTGACAGAAAAGGAAAAGGCAAAGGGAGAGATGGATTAAATAAATATTAGGGGACAAACTGAATGATTGGTCTTTTGCATTAATTCTCCAAACACATACAAGTTGCAATCATGATCCTAATTCTCATAATTGAAGTGGATAAAGAGCTCATTGATGTGTTGGGCCAAAGCCTGCCATTCTATCTCTATTATTGGGCCACGGCCCACTACCATTGGATCTCTGTTGTTGGCCCAAAGTATGCCATTCTGTCTCCATTGTTGGGCCACAGCCCACTAGCATTGGATCTCTGTTGTTGGGCCAAAGCCTGCCATTCTCTATATTATTGGGCTACGGCCCAATACCATTGGATCTCTGTTCTTGGGCCACGGCCCACACAGTTTCTCACCCTCATCTAATCACACAACCCATCTGATTTTCTTTAATTCAACGTCGTAATAAAACATGCTGAGTAGGTTAGATATTTATTAAAATAAAAAATCTGGAGATTTATTTAATATTTTTTAACTGGAAAACCTATTAACCTAATTTACGGTCTAAATTTATGATTTATCCTTTTATTTTTACCATTCAAATTGATTTTATATCATTTTGTACTCTAAATTTTAAATTTCATTAAATTTAGTTAAATATTGGAACTTTTAATGTTAAATTGACTCACTAATTTTAGTCTAAAAATATTATAAATTAACTATTTTTTTTCAAATAAGCATATGAGAAATTTACCCGATTAATACAGAAACTTTATTATTGAATAAACATCTAAAGAAAATATTCCATTAATTTCATGTAAAATATAAATATTTATTTAGTAAATATGAAACAGTCATCAATAGGCCTATTAGCTCAGTTGGTTAGAGCGTCGTGCTAATAACGCGAAGGTCGCAGGTTCGAAACCTGCATGGGCCATACTTCAAAAACTTATATTAAATTTCTTTTTTTCCCTTTTGATTAATTCATTGGAAGCTGATAATTAGGACCCATTTGGTAAAATTTGTGGGAAATTAAACCCCCGTGGTTTGCTTCAGAACAAAACGAAGAGAAGGGTCTATAGGGGATCTTTCAATGGAGAAGATTGACCTAAGAGGAAGAGAAGAGTCTATCTATTTTATTTAGTCATTCAGTTAGAATGTAAATAGTGTAACCTACACTATTGTAAAATAATGAAGTTATTGAAAAGACACTATTCAATCCAAACCAACTTACTTTCGACCTTTTAGTTGTTGTTTCTCTTCATTCTTCTATCTAATTTTAAAAATAGTGCATATCATTTAAAGGGATGTGCATGAACCAAGACAAAAAAAAAACATTACTTGTGGTTGATGAATTGATGTAATTTTGCGTGAAAATCAAATCATTCAAGCTGTCATTTATTTTAGAGTGTCGAATCATAAAAGGAAAGCCAAATTTGGGTGAGAATTAGCGGCTCTAAATTACATGGATCCATTATGGATATAAAGATAATATTTCATTACCCATCAATAAAGTTGTCTTTTTTCTTCTTCTTGTGTTTTGGTATTTGAGCACTACGAGTGAATCAAATTGGAACACGTTTGTGTTCTTGGAGTGGGTATCTCAAATGAGATGATGGGTATCTCCAAAAGCATGTATAGCCTTTGTGACAAAGTTCATATCTTTTTGAGCTTTGAATTCAAGATTTTTGTTGGGTTGGAAAACCCAGATCCACAAATCTGAAAAATCATCCCTTTTTTTTCTGTTTATCCAATTTCCATCAGCTGATTGGAGAAGAGGTGTTGGTTGATTGAGGAGTTTTTGTAGGGCAGTATGTGGTTGTGTTTGGGGGACAGATTTGGTCGATGTCCTACGCACTGTCTCCCGGTGATACCACAAAGAAGTGCAGTGAAGAAAGATGCGTAATTTGATTGAATTTGGTTGTGGTGTATGGGGCGGAGGTGGGGTTGAAAGGGATGGGACTGATGGGGAGTTTGTGGCCATGGAAGGTGACTTTAAGAGTGCATGGTTGAGAATCAAAGAAAGCAACAAAACATCATCACAACGTACAACACATGAATCTCTCCAAGATTTTTCATTGCGAGTTTGGCTTTGTATAGACACCGCCGGATGAGGTGGGATTGTGTGTGTCACTACTCAGGACAAACCCCTTATTTTCATTGTATTTACCGTCCATGTGTTTCAGTTTTCTATTTCATCACTCAATCGACACACCATATTTTTGTTCGTTCTTCATTTAAACAGAGATTCTCCACTTGGGTTGAGATGGGTCGAGATAGGCCGAGATGCCACAAATTAAATAAATACTTTTGATCTTAAGGTGAGATCTCATGTTGGTTGAAGAGGAGAATGAACAATTTCTTATAGGGGTTTGAAAACCTCTCCCTAGCAGATGCATTTTAAAATCACGAACTGACAACGACACGTAACTAGTTAAAACGGACAATATTTACTGAGGGTGAGTTTGTGCTATTACAAATGGTATTAAAGCTAGTCAGCGAGGACGTTGAACCCCCAAAGGAGGTGGATTGTGAGATCCCATATCAGTTGGAGAGAGGAACGAAACATTCCTTATAAGGGTGTAGAAGCTTCTCCTTAGTGAATTCGTTTTAAAACGGTAAAACTGACAGTGACACGTAACGAGTCAAAACGGATAATATCTTCTAGCGATAGACTTGAGCTATTACAAATGGTATCAGAGCTAGACATTGAGTAGTATACTAGCGAAAACGCTAGACCTCCAAGGAGGGTGGATTGTGAGATCCCACATGGGAAAGGGAACAAAACATTTCTTATAACAGTAAAAACTTTTTCTTAGCAAATACGTTTTAAAACTGTGAGACTAATCACGACGATATATAATGGGCCAAAGCAAACCGACGATACGTAACGAGCCACCCCAAAACAACCCATGCTTCGGGTAGCTGCCATCTTCTTACAACTCAACAACTCTATTATGAGCACTAAGCAAGAAGATTTTTGATATCAAAATTGTGTTGGGAAGTGGGGTTGATTTGTTTATGAAGGCCCAGTGCCAGTTATATGAAATCAAACATTTGCCCAATATCGAATACCAAACAAACAATGTGTTGTGTTCATTTCTTTCTTTCATGGCGACAAGTTTATGGCCCCATCGATTGCTACAAATCACATTGAAACAACCCCACAGTCACCTTCCAAATTTAATTATTTTCCTCTCCAAATAACGGAAATCATGACTCTAATAATGATTGATGTGTAGTGTTCGATCCGTTCTTTTCACGTTGTGAATTTGGGTATGGTTAGTTTATCGGGAGGATCACCCTCCCAATTCGAAATTTTTTCTGGAACGTGCTTCGCTTTTGTAAGCGCTTAAGCCCACCACTAGTAGATATTGTCTTCTTTGAGCTTTCTCTTAAGGCATTAAAATGCGTTTGCTAGGGAAATGTTTGCACACCATTATAAAGAGTGTTTCGTTCTCCTTCCCAACCAATGTGAGATTCTCGTAGCTTTTTCAAGACCCCTACTCTAATCAAAAAACTAAAAAGTAATGGATACGACTCTTGATCAAAAAGAAATATAGTCACGCTTCCTCTGCCATGGTATTTGTGGCTTGGAAGTATTGTTCAAGGTCGTAGATAAAGTTCTCTAGAGCCTTGGCATCTCGAACCCCACAAAAGGGTTTGGGCTCTGGAACCTTTAACTTGTTAAATCGTGCTACACCCCTAGTTGGGGTTTGGTCCCCTACTGCTTTCATAGTGAGGTTTAGTTTGGTGTCTAGATCTGCCACTTCGATCCTGACCATTCTAAGGGATTCTCTAAAGTTTTCAGGCAATTCAGAGACCATCTAGACGATTACCAGTTGAGTATTGTCTAAGCCCTGGCGCATTCCTCTGTTCGAGCAACAAAGCCCATCGAA